CTCACCACATGTCTCCTTTCCTGTTGTCAGCCTCTTGTACATCCCTGCCGACCTTGGCAAACAGAGCCCATTCTTAGGTACCTGGAATCCAAATGAGAATGCTATCATTTCAAAATCCAAAATGGCTGCCACTTGTAAAGATTCAAAATGGCTGCACCCTTAGTCACTTTAAATATCCAGAATGCCTGCCGCATGTAAATAGCCAAAATGGCTGCACCCTCTGGACAGCGGAAAGTCAACAGCTCAGGTTGTCTCCCTCCTTGCTGTTTCCCTTCCTAGTCATAGGCCACTAGCACAGTCATCCCTGCAGCCCTTGGTGACCAGGGCTGATCCGTAAGTCAATTCTCAGGTCCCAACACCACTTGGAAATATTCAGGCTGTTGGTCCTGTCAGAATAGCTGACAGTCCGCAGCTCCGAATGTTTCTGTACTCAGTTTTTGTTCAGGTTTTTCCACTAGTTGGTGCTTAATCCACTTCTGTATAGTCCCTTTCAAAGCTCAGGGCTCCAGGATTATCTTCTGTATCTCTGTCAATTGGTTCTTCTTTTCTTTGTTGAAGAGGGTCTGTGTCGCTTGTCTGCCTATTCCTCCTTCATACTGGAAGTCTCCACAACTGTAAAATCTTAAACTTTAATGCCAGTAGGAATAAATTTTTCCTTCCCTGTTAAATCCTGGCAACCTTACCTTTTAAAACTCAAGAGATAAAATTTGATTTAAAAGCTCACTAAGAACACAGTGCTTAATCAGGAATCCAGACTTCACAATTAAGGAATTTCATCACCCACAAAACAAGAGGAAAAAAAAAATGTCACAAAACATAAAAATGTTCATTTTCATTTACTGATTTGTGGGCCACAATTCAGAAGACATGTTTTTCTGCTTAATTAGCTATTGAAGTCCTTAAACAGTAGCTTTAGAATAGCTTCCTTATATCATTAGCACATATTTTTATACATGGATAACATTATTTTTCTCCATATTGTGATATTCCACTTGTAGTTTAGTCTCAACTCACATAAATTCCTAGAAATATGTAAAAGGACAAAATTCCATTTTAATTTTCTCTGCCATCTGTTTACAATATTTATAGAATTGTTGTTATGAGATGCCATCAAGTCAGCTCCAACTCATAGAGACTCTATATACAACACAACGAAACACTGCCTGGTCCTGTGCCAGCCTCATAGTACTTGCTATATGTAACCTAAGCCTATCATTGCAGCCACTGTGTCAATCTACTCGTTGAAGGCCTTCCTCTTTGTTGTTGACACTCCACTTCACCAAGCATGATATCCTTCTCCAGGGAATAGTTCTTTCTGACAACATGACCAAAGTAGGTGAGATGAAGTCTGGCCATTCTTGCTTCCAAGGAGCAGTCCGGCTTCTCTTCTTCCAGCATAGATTTGCTCATTCTTCTGGCAGTCCAAGGTATATTTATTTAATTTAGTTAAATGGTTAGCTTGTCTCCTCCTTTCACTCAGCTCTGCGTAATTTTCCTTCTCCATTGCTCCTTACTCTACTTCATGATCTCTAGAAAGTTTGAAGCAATAAACATTTAAATTCCAGCCAAAAATCTGACTTTATCAATTCAATCCCTATTCAGGATGTTGTAACCTTGTTACTACAATTGTTTTTGAATTTGTTTGCTTATAAACTGATGCACCCTTCTGTAAGATAATACAACATCACTAGATCTTTTTTCTGTGACCAAAACATTTAAACCATTTTCTCCCTATGTTGATTCAATACATTATCTTAATCTAACTTGTTTTTCAAAAATCTGTATGGGAACTTATTTCCAAATATATGCAGGAGAGAGAAAGGAAATTGGGTATTATAAAGATAGGGAACCCAATCGATCCAGAGGTTGGATGAACCTTTAAAGCTATTGCCCTGAGATAATCTTTAAATCTTTAACCAAAAATATCCCCCGATGTCTTAAAACCAAATATTTTAGCTTCACTTAAAAAAAAAAAAAAAATGTCTGCCTTGTGCATCATGCTCATTGAAGATCCTATCTGTGTGGAATCAAATTGATAACAGCAACTCAAAAGATTAGATAGGGAACTCAGCAGCAGTGTTTTGGTTGTTAGGTGTCTGAGAGCTGGTTCAGACTCTTTGCATATTCTTGCATTACCTTTTCCCATCAGATTTGTTCATTCTCAGGCAGTCCATAATATAGTCAATATTTGCCAACACCACAGTTCAAATACATCAATTCTTCTGTTTTACATTTTCATTGCCCAACTTTCACATGCATATGAGGTACTGAAAATACCATGGCCTTGCTGAGGTGACACCTTTGCTCAAAGTGACATCTTTCCTTTATAGCACTGAAAAATGTCTTTTGCAGTACATTTGCCCAATGCAATACATTGTTTGATTTTTTGATTTTTGTTGTCATGGGTGTTGTTTATGGATTCAAGTAAAATGAAATCCTTGATAACTTCAGTATCTTCTCAATTTATCATGATGCTGCTTATCGGTCCAATTGTGAGTGTCTTTGATGTGGCACTGACTTGTCTGTCAGTTTGTCATACTGTGGTGGCTTTTATGATGCTAGAAGCTATGCCACGAATTATTTCAAATATTAACTGGGTCACCCATGATGGACAGGTTTCAGCAGTTTCCAGACTAAGACAGACTAGGAAGAAGATGGGGTCTACTGAAAAAACTGGGCTACTGAAAACCTCATGAATAGCAGTGGAACATTGTCTGATATAGTGCTGGAAGATGAGGCCCTCCAGTTGAAGGGATGACTGGGGAAAAGCTGCCTACTCAAAGTAAAGTTGACTTTAATAATGTGAATGGAATAAAGCTTTTGAGACCTTCATTTCCACAACTCAAAATAAGAAACATTTGCAAACATCAGGGGGCAGTGAGTTTATCTTAATGAAGGAGGAATAAAAAAAATGAAAAAATGAATTGTAAAATTAAGTGAATACCATACAAGCCAGTAACAGCACTCCCAGGCATTTATCCTAGAGAAACAAAAACTGAGCTCCACACAAAAACCTGTGCATTGTGGTTCATAGAAGCTTTATTTGCTATGGTCCCAAACTGGAAATATCCAGAATAATCTTCAAGAGGAATATAAAATATATAATTATATACATTGTTTATATAGTTTATATAGTTATATAAACTGTGGAACATCTATACTATGAAATACTACTACTCAATAAAAAAAAAAGAACAAGCTATTGATACATGTAACAACCATGGGATGGCTCTCAAGGGCATTATGCTAAGTGAAAAAAGTGTTTGAAAAAGTTATACCCTGTATGATTACATTTACAATAATACCAAAATGACAAAACTAGAGAAAGATTAGTGGTTTCCAGGGGTTAGGGATGGTGGCCAGGGTGCCAGAGGGTACTGAGTATAACTATAAAAGCACAAGTAAAATCTTTGTATTAATAGAATAGTTCTGTATCTTGATTGTAGTAGTAGTTACAAGAATCTACATGTGTGATAAAATGGCAGAGAACTACATACTAATTGTACCAATGTCAAATTCCTGGTTTTGACATTGTACTATAATTATGGAAGGTATAACCACTGGCTGAAACTAATCTCTCAGTACTATCTTTTCAACTTCATGTGGCTCTATAATTATTTAAAAATTAAAAATATTTTTTAAAACCACAGCATTTGATATATAATAAATATCTAAAGGACTCGTTGTTGTTGTTGTCATGTGCCGTCAAGTCAGACCTGACTCATAGCGACCCCTCCTTGGGTTTCCAAGGCAGTATCACTACGGAAGTAGATTGCTCCGTCTTCCTTCCGAGGAGTGGCTGGTAGGTTTGAACTGCCAGCCTTCTGGTTAGCAGTCAAGTGCTTTAGGCACTATGCTACCAGAGCTCCCAAAGGACTCCTTAGGGGGTAAAAAAAAAATACCCATCTATTAAGTCTGTTTGCTTCCATATCTTCCACCTTTTGATTTAGGATGGGAGAAAGGAGTTATTTTTAAAACCAGGTTTTGGAAAAACTTTGCTGATATACAATCTTAAATTGAGAAAGTTTATCATTATTGTAAGAACATAAAAGTCTTAGATGGCACTGCTTCTGTGAAAGCATTAGCAAAACTAATACTTAAAGTATATCTAGATACGGTTTCATGTTATCTTTCTTCAAATAACAACTCTATAGCCAGTTATGGCTATATCTAAACATATTGTTGTTGTTGTTACGTGCCGTCGAGTCAGCCCCAAATCATAGCAACCCCTCCCTGGGTTTCCAAGGCAGTATCACTACAGAATTAGATTGCCCCATCTTTCTTCTGAGGAGTGGCTGGTGGGTTTGAACCGCCAGCCTTCTGGTTAGCAGTGAAGTGCCTTAGGCACTACGCCACCAGAGTTCCCAAATCTAAACATATGGATACACTTAATTCTAAGAATAATACCTTTTCAAGGTATGTGCACTACTCACTTATCGTCATGGTTATGTTCCAAAGACCAGAATATTATGAGAATATCAGCATTACGTGAAAATGCAGGGAAACCACATCAGATCACAAAATGGAGGATGACTACATCATTACATAACTGCCAAAACACTGAGACTCATGGCCCAGCCAATCTGACATATAACCTTAACCATCATAGCCAACGTCACTCTCCCTTTACACCTCAAGAGTTAGTTACTGCCAGACGTACATTGTTAACATACAAAATAGTCAGAAAGAGTTTTTACTATTTTAAGTGTGACATATCAGGTAATTGATGAGAAGAAGGCATACTAATATTTCAGCTTTAAAAGGAAAACAGGTGCAACAGCAACAAAATGGAAACAAAAATCAAAGAGACTACTTAAAATAAATAAGACATAATACGTCAAAATGTTTAAATAATTTTATATGTTTACTTGAAATATTTCAGTATCTGTAAAAAATATACAAATATCCACAATATTAATAGATATGTAAAAGTAGTTTCACCTCCTGTTACCACCTAAAATCATAAATCAAATAGTTTTCAAGAATGTTCTCTTTGACTTCTAACCTCTGCTCTTCTTTAGAATTACCTGAGAAGAGAAATAAAAGAAGACTCCTATTACACCAATCGCAAATATTTTATCTATGGCAAATCAAGCAAATCTTCAACAAAATGTTAAAGAGTTCTATGTGCATACAGGCAAAACTCAATTTGGAAGGTGATTAGGGAATATTCTGCCTTATAAATGACCTTCTCTGAACTTTTCTCAATGAATATAAAACTTACCTAGATTCTCCAAATCTACTTTCATTTTTGGTTAGCAACTGAGCACTTAAATGTTGCTCCACTAGGGCTCCTTTAACACATATAAAGCAGTACAAATCCACTGCAGTATCAAATTTCTTATATTATGCCCAGAATTTTGTCAATTTTGGGACCTAGAGTCATTTTATGGTGAATACCTTGTTAGGTGGTAATTTCTAAAATAATATAGCCCACGGAAGAAATAAAACAAAAGATCTTTTTTTTTTGTAAAAAGGCTGGAGCATTAGGCCAGAATATCTCAAGAACTTTTTAAAGAACTTATTACTTTACGTAAGTATGCCTATAGTTTACCAATAAGAACAACCAAACCAAAACCAAAATCGTTGCCATCAAATCAATTCTAACTGATAGCAACCTTAGACGACATAAAAGAACTGCCCTATAGGGTTTCCAAGGCTGTAATCTTTACAGAAGCAGAGAGCCACATCTTTCTTCTGCAGAGCAGCCAGTGGGTTCAAACTGCCAATCTCTGGGTTAGCAGTCTAGCACTTTAACCACAACATCACCAGCACTCCTAAAAACAAACAAACCCTAAATTTAAAACACATGTAAACCCACTTTTCAGGCTCATATACCTTATTTTACCAGAAATAAAATACTGTCCCTGATCTAGTTTTGTTACTTCATGCTACTCTACAGAAATAGCACAAGTAGATGGCTTTAACAAGCAGGAGTTTATTCTCTTACAGTTTTGGAGGCTAGAAGTCTGAGTTCAAAGTGCCAGGCTCTAGAGGCTGGGTGAAAGCACCTTGATCTTGGGCTTCAGCTCTGTCTCTTGGCTCCTGGCCCAATGAAGCTGACAAACCCAAGGTCAACAAGTAAAAAACCACAGTCCCAATGTTACACCAAACCACACAGCAGGCTGTTAACTCAAGTCCATTAAGAGTCCCAAGATCAGGAGACAACATGGCAGGCTGCTGAATAATGACTCAGCTACATGCAGGATTCAAGTATGCCAAGCCAGAGACTTTCCTCAGAGTTGCTTCTTATATACTGGAAGCAGACCATATCCCTAAAGCAGCTACTCAGCTGCTCACAGTAGATTCCACCATGGAGTTGAATACTAGTCTCATCATGGGGAATACTACATCCAGCTGCCCAGCCACTCAAAACCAGGCCCAGCTAAGTTGACACATAACCTTAACTACCACATGACCTTAATAGGTTAGAAACTTGTGGAAATGTTTGTAACATTAACAGAATATGAAGCCCCTAAAAAGTGTCAAGGCATACACATTCCTAGACTTCCACAGAGGTGCTGTCAACTCACAGTGACTCCATATGACAGAATAGAACTGCCCCATAGGGTTTTCTTGGATGTAATCTTTATAAGAGCAGATTACCAGGTCTATCTCCTATGGAATGGGTTAGAACCACCAACCTTTCAGTTAGCAGTCACATACTTAATCATTATGCCACCAGGGCTCTTTGTTCTTTAGGATGCTGATATGGCTATTTCAAATGAAAGAAATATATACTCAAATAAATTTACAAAATGCTGAGTTAAGCAGAGATATATATATATTTTTTTAATTACTACAGTTCTTATAACTTTTCATACTAGTATGTATTGTAACTATTTAAGAAGGATGTAGCATCTTAGGTTACCTACATTTATCTGATCACGGTTTTTTGTGATGGGCCCACCTATTAACATCTCTTGGAATTACTGTTCTCAGGAACACATATAATAAACTGTGCCCTAAGCTTCATACCCTTATATTACATAGAAATATTAGTAAGAAGCAGTCTTCTCTACTTACATAAGAAATTTGATTCACAAGTCACTGAAATATCACAGAAAGATAGAAAATTACAAAATTAACTAAGTAATTAGAATGATTTAAAATCAAGAACAAAGTAAATTTTGGTAATTTCAAGGTGTTACGTCTTCCCTGCTATATACAGCCTCCAAATCTCACAAGGAATCATGGTGGTGCAGTAGTTAAGTGCCTGGCTATTGTCAGTTCAGGAGATAACTGTGGCAGTCTGCTCCTAATGATTACAGCCTTGGAAACTCTAGGGGCAGTTCCATTCTGTTTTATAGGGTCTCTATGAGTTGACAATGGGTTAAACAGGTTATTATCCCACAGATTAATTATGCAAAGGTTAATTTCTCCCTAAACCGTGGTATATCAGTGGCTATTAATTTTTCTATCAGAAAACCATAATATGCATATAGTGAAAAAAATCTAACTACATAATTAAAATCCAGTCACATAAAAAGTCAAGTTTCAACTCAGTCAACCAATCTGAATAAGGAATCCAAATATGAACAGGTGGTATTTTGAAGTTAATTCCTCTTTAAGAAAAGATGTTAATTCTTGTTCAAGAAAAGAAATTCAGATTTTTACCTTTGCTGCTGCCAGGACATGCTCCTTTTTAATAATTCCACACTTATTCTCACAAGCATTTACTCTGGACTCTTCTGCTAATCGATGAACAAACAGTAAACAGTTCAGGTGAACCTTTAAAGGAGAAAATTTAAAAGGATTTTTAAACACAAACACTGAAGCTCCAAAATAATGACTTTTAAACTGAAAGGATCCCCAAACTTACTCAAAATGTAAATAATTATGGTAGTTATAGTATTTTTTTTTTTAAATTGTGATTTGGGTGAAAATTTACAGAGCAAATTCACTTTCCATACAGCAGTTCACATATACTTTGTCTCATGACATTGATGACAATTTACCCCAAAGCAACAGCTCCCTTCCCACTTCCTCCCTAGAGTAACCTCTTTCCTGTGTCTATCCCTCCATGCACTCCTACCCCCTGAGAGTTGTCTCCCTGTGCATAAACAGCCCTACTTTCTCCCATGATTGTTCTCTCCAAGGAATGTATCTACCTCAGGTAAGTGCTCAATTCATATGCCTGTCTTTTGTTTGGCTGAAAGCCATAGGTGTGGGTTCAATTTCAGACCTGAAGGGCACCTAGGGGCCACAGGCTCAGTGGTACCACCAGGCTCTAACAGATCAACAAACCTGGTCTCCCTTTTTTTTTTCCCCAAATGAGTTTGAGTTTTGTCCCACATTGTTCTCCCTCTCTATCCAGAATCTCCTACATAGATCTCCCTCAGAGTGGCTGACAATGGTAGCCAGGCACCATCTAGTTCTTCTGGTCTCAGTCGTTTGCGCTACAGATCGCATGGTGTACCAGTCGCTAGGACTAATTCTTTCCAAGAATCTTTGGTTTTCTTCATTCTTCTTTGCTCTGGATGAAGAGAGACTCATCATTGCATCTAGATGGCTGCTTGCAAGTTTTTAAGAGTTGCTACTTGCCAAAGTAGGATGTAGAACAGTGTAGCAAGTTATGTCAATTGAGCTTGATGTCCCCTGTGACTATGGTCCCGAGTCCACAGGTTCAACTACTACTCCCTCTGGGTAGCTGGCTGTGACCAAGAAGTAACTACAACCTTGTCCCTTGTCAGCTCTACCATACCGCTGGAAATTCTTACAGAACACACAAATACACTTGTAGAACCACTGTCTGCCAACCCCATACAATGGTCTTGGGCATACTCCCCCATGTGTAGACATGCCTAATAGTTAAGCCTGTCCACCCATCTATCCAACCGTATACCCATGTTTTCCTTCACTGACAACGCAGTACTACATGTGCAAAAGGGTTCATCTTTGTTGTCTCAACCTTCCAGTCTTCCTCTTCTTCCTCAATGCCACCATCATGATTACTCACATTTGGTACATTGTGCTTCTCTTCACTCAAATCAATACTTATCTCGACCTATCTTACAGTGTTCCCTCCCCTCCTGTCCCACTCCTTGTAACCAACAAAGAAAATCTCCTTCCATAGATAAACCTTTCCTTGACTTTTACAATAACAGACTAATATAGTATTTGTCTTTCTGTGACTGACTTATTTCACTCAGTATAATGTCCTCGAAGTTCATCCACGTTATGTGTTGTTTTGCAGATTCTACATCACTCTTTAGGGTTGCATAGTAATCCATTGAGCGTATGTACCATAGTTTGGTTATCCACTCCTCAGTTGATGGATATCTAGGTTGTTTCCATCTTTTGGCTACTATAAATAGTGCTGCGATGAACATGGGTGTGCATATGTCTGTTCTTGTCATGATTCTCACTTTTTCAGGATATATATATATACCTAGTAATGGAATGGCTGGGTCAAATGGTATTTCTAATACAAACTTTTTAAGGAATCGCCATACTGCTTTCCACAGTGGTTGCACCATTTTACAGTCCCACTAGCAGTGTATAAGTCCCAATCTCTCCACATCCTCGCCAGCATTTGTTATTTTCTGTCTTGTTGAACTATGCTACTACTACTGGGGCAAGACGGTATCTCATTGTCGTTTTGATTTGCATCTCTCTAATGGTTAATGATTGTGAGCATTTTTTCACGTTTGTTGACCACCTGAATATCCACCTTGGTGAAGTGTCTATTCTTGTCTTCTGCCCAATTTTTAATTGGATTATTTGTCTTTTTGTTATTGAGATGTTGAAGTTTTCTTTAAATTCTAGAGATAAGTCCCTTGTCAGGTATGCCATTGCCAGATATTTTTTCCCAATCTATAGGTTCTCTCTTACTCTTTTGGAGAAGTCTTTGGAAACACATAAAAATTTAATTTTTAGAAGGTCCCATTCATCTAGTTTCTCTACTGGTGTTTGTGCATTTTGGGTTATGCTTGATAGTCTATTTATGCCACATATTAAGGTCCCTAAATCTGCCCCTACCTTTTCCTTGAGGAACTTTATAGTTTTAGGTTTCACATTTAAGTCTTTGATCCATCTGGAGTTAGTTTTTGTGTATAGTGTGAGGTACAGATCTTGTTTCATTTTTCTGCAAATGGATACCCAGTTTTGCCAGCACCATTTGTTAAACAAACATTCTCTTCCCCATTGAATGGATTTTGGCCCTTTGTCAAAGATCAGCTGACCATAGGTTGATGGATCTATTTGAAGGTTCTCAATTTTTCTCTTTCATGATTTTATATGTACCATCCCTGTTGCCTTCTTGCTTGCATGGTTTTTGCTGAGAAATCAGAGCTTATTCTTACTGGTTGTCCTTTGTAACTTTTTGTTTTTCCCATGCTGCTTTCAGGATTCTGTCTTTGTCTTTGGTTTTGATGAGTTTGATGATGACATGTCCTGGTGATTTTCTTTTGGGGTCTATCCTGATTGGGGTTTGTTAGACTTCCTGAATGGATATATTCTCATCCTTCCTCATATCAAGGAAGTTCTCCTCCAACAAATCTTGCACAGTTTTCTCAGTGGTTTTATTTTTCTCTTCCTGTTCTGAAATTCCAATGACACATATGTTATTCCTTTTGATGGTATCCCACATGAACCTCAGGCTTTCTTCATTTTGTTTTGATCCCTTTTCTGATTGATCCCTCTCCAAAGAAGCATTCAGGTATTTGTCTTCAATCTTATTAATTCTGTCTTCCATTGATTCAATTCTACTCCTTTGCTCATTCAATGTATTATCCATTTCTGACAATTTAGTATTAATCTTCTGGATTTCTATCTGTAGATTTTGAATCATTTCTAATTTTTCATTTATTTTGTCATTTTCTTGTATTTTTTTTCCTGAAATTCTCCTAGGATTTTGTCTGTGTTTTCCTTGATCTGTCTCTCAATCCTTTGAAGATATCTAAATATAATTCTTTTGAATTCCTTATCAGGGAGTTCCAATGCTGCTTCTTCCTCAGGGATGTGTTCTGGGTCTGTATCCAGCTTGCTTGTTTCTACCACTTTATCTTGTTTCATTGTGTGGACTGTGATGGTCTATTGTCTCCAAGACACTGTGACATTGTTGTATTTAGATCTCTGTTAACTGTTTGTAAAAAGCAGCTAAGGGTGAGTCAAGCTCTTCTTGGTGGTTGTTTATTGTTGGCCTGTTGGTAGAGAAGGAAGTAGTGCCTCTCAGTAAGTGAAGCTGCAGTAGGCGAGGAGCTGTGGGTGTAGTTGTGTCATATGAAGACTGTTGCTGTCTCCCACTCAGTTAGTCAAAAATAACAACTGAATAACCATCAAAAAAGTAAAAGCAAATGGACAAAAAACACACTGTGTAATCATACCGGACCAGTAACCAAAAAACGAAAAAAGGGAAAAAAAAGGAGGATAAAAAAGACCCGTAATATCTGGGGAGAGGGCAATAAGAGAAAAAAGGTACAGAAGGAGAATAATGAAGAAAAAAACAGGAAAAACGCAAAAATAAAAACAAGGAATGGGGTTAACCATGAGAAAGAAAAGAAAATATTGCAACCAGAAACAGAGAGAAGAAGCTGAAAACTAGAACGGGGGTAGGGAACCATAAAGAATAATAATAAAAAAAGACAAAAGTAGTAATAATAATAGCTGTTTTAAAACAGACAAAATCAAACAAACTAAAAAAAAAGAAAAACTTATTGGGGCAGGGTGGGGCAGGGCACTTAGCTTCCATGCGAGCACAGAGACTGGGATGGAATTCCTGCTGCCCTAGAAGGTGGGTGGGAGTTAGGGATGGTTGCACCTCCGTTCACCAAAAGGGTGCGGGATATAAGAGTAACAAGGGGAATGTCGCACCTTTCCAATCATCCGTGTCCAGAATGTCCTTATGGTTTCTGGCAAGTGGATCTTGTTCTTAAGTCCCTGGAATCTGGGAGAATGCTGTTGCTTTAAATATCCAAAATGGTCAAACCGCTTGTAAACATTCAAAATGACTGTACCCTCCGGACAGGCAAAAGTCCACAGCTCAGCCCACCTTCCTCTTAGCTGCTCCCCTCTTTTATTCACCAGTCACCAGAGCAGTCCTCTGTGCAGTCCCTGGCTAGCAGGGCTGATTTTTAGGTTAATTCTTAGGTCCTACCGCCACTCGGCAATATCCAAGCTGTCTGTAGTATCAGGATAGCTGCCAGACTGCAGCTCCATATGTCTCCTTTTTTTGGTGTTTTCATGCAACTTCTTCTGCTAGTTGGAGTTTAACCCACTTCTATATCCTTCCCTTCAAAGCTCGGGGATCCAGGATTATCTTCTGTATTTGTGTTAATTGGTTCCCCTTTTCTTTGGTGAAGAGGGCAGTCTTTCTGCCTATTCCCCCATCTTACCCCAAGAAGTGGTAGTTATACTATTTAAATAATAAATTTAATTATTGTTGTTAAGTCACTTAAGTCTTATTTAATGCTATACAGAATTTGTTTTACTTAAGTCCATCTTAGATTAAATAAAGAAATTTTCAACTTACATATCTAGTCAAAAAATCTTACAGCTTAATTTGTAGAAGAAATAATTAGTCTAAAATACAGTTAATACGCTATTATAAATTTTATCGAAATTTAAAATTACATAAAGTCAAATTTATAATATATAAAGTAGTAATATTTCTTATATAATAAAGAATCCTACAAAAGTTTTAATGTATCATAATAATTTACAATAATGTTAATGCCTATGCTTTTGGTCTGTCTTACATATCCTTGCTTCATATACTGCAATGACTAAATTTTAGCACATTGCTCAATATATAATCACTAAAACCAAACCCATGGTGCTTGAGTAGATTCCAACTCATAGTCACCCTACAGGACAGAGCAGAACTGCCTCACAGTAACCTCTACGGAAGCACACTGTCACATCTGACTCCTGAGGAGGGGCTGGTGGATTTGAGCTGCCTTTAGAAGCCCTGGTGGCATAGTGCCTAAGGCATTAGATGGCTAACCATAAGGCTGGCAGTTCAAACCCACCAGCCACTCCTTAGAAGAAAGATTGGGCAATGGACTTCCGTATAGACACTGCCTCAGAAACCCAAGGAGGGGTCACTATGAGTCAAATCCAACTCAACAGCAGTGAGTTTGGTTTTTTGGTTTTTTTTTTTTTGTTAGCAGTCAAAAGCCTTAACCACTACACCACCAGTGCTTCTTAATACACACATGTAACATCAAATATACAATCAAATAAGGCATAAAACAAACAAAATAACAAAACCCAGTGCAAGACTGTAAAACAACACAGAAGAAATTATGCATAAACTGCTTGAAATGACAACAATCAATCCACATGTAATTAACAAGCATATCCAACATTAATTATATGCTCAACTATTACACTAAACACCAGGAATACATCAAGTTTCCAATTCAAAGTTCCCAGTCTAGTGGGAAAATCAAAACCACAAAGAAATTAGAAATAAACATATCAAAATGAATGATAAAGTTAAGACTGATCCTTCTTAAACAGATTAAGGAAGGCTTCACTGAGCAAGTGGCATTCAAACTGGATTTTGACAGTGGAACAGAGGGAGGAAATATTCTGGCAAAAGAAATATCACATACAAAAAGCAGCATAAAAGTAGCTTAATTTTTGTGTTAAAGGCAATGGGAGAAAAAAAAGAAATACAAGATATAGTTCTTTCCCTTAAAGAAACTATATACCACACTGGACACAACATAAATATATGAAACTCCTAGAAAAGAGTGCCAATAGCTAACTTGTAGAATGTACTCTTGTTGCTGAAGAAGTGAAAAGTAAGAGATCAAAACATATTGGATTAATTGTAGAAAGGTTCATGGATAACGTAGGACATCTGCTGGGTAAGATTATGAAGTGTCGGTGACACTTGTAAAACCGTAAGCCAAAAAACCAGGGTAGATGACTGGCATACAAGACAGAAAAGGAGAACTAATAAAAGCCACAGAAGGCAAGCATACCACCTGGGAATAGCTGGTCGCGGAAAGAACTTCCTTTCTTCCATCACTACAAGGGCAATCAATGATGAATTCCAATTTCATCTCCCCTTCTTTCCCATGCCACTTGGATCCTACTGCAACATGGAGCCCACTTGCTCATGGGTACTCTGGGGGCAGACAGAAGTGCCTCACAGAAAGGCCTGGCAGTTTACGTCAAAAAAAAAAAAAAAAAAAAGTTGAAATCCCTATGGGGCACAGTTCTAGTCTGACACATATGGGGTGTCACCATGAGTCAGGGCTGACTCCATAGAATCTGACAGAGAAGAGAGGAGGTAGAAAAAAACATGTATCTTAAAAACAGCTGGAAACATGCATTCCCCATACACTCTATGCATGATGACCTTGCTACCACAAATCCTGACCTTTATCTCCTGGAGGATCTGCCTCTTTTGGTTTAAACCCAGGCATGTAGTACCCATTCACTTAGAGGAATGCTTGGAACACATATTCCTTGGAAACTAAAATAATATGTTCTATTATTTGTGTAGGAAAATAAATTTACAGTTGAAAATATTTTATTTACAAATAAACTTTTTGTTGTTGTTGTTGTTATGTGCCGTCGAGTCAGTCCTGACTCATAGCGACCCCTCCTTGGGTTTCCGAGGCAGTATCACTACGGAAGTAGGATTGCCCAACCTTCCTTCCGAGGAGTGGCTGGTGAGTTTGAACCACCAGCTGTCTGGTTAGCAGGCAAGTGTCTTAGCCACTACTTTTAGGAGTCTTTAATAAGTAGCCTAAAGTAGAAAACGGAAATATGTTTGGTTAATGTAAAAAGAGAGAAGGAAGGAAGTGGTTAAAAGGCATGTCAGCAGTGCCTTTTACAATCCTTCAATAAAAATGACCCAGCCAGAACTCCAAAATCTAGTTTTAAAAGAGTGTCTCTTCCATACCCTTTCCAAGTACACTAAGCACAGTGGGAAACTTTCTCGAACAGTGATATTTAAAACCTGTAAGCTACAACAAGGATGGGAGCTCTGGTAGCGTAGTGCGTAAGGTATCTGACTGCTAATCAGACGGCTGGTGGATCAAACCAACCGCCACTCCTGGGAAGATCGGAGGATCTACTTCCGTAAGATACTGCCTCCGGAAACCCAAGGAGGGGTCGCTAAGAGTCGGATCAGACTCGATGGCAGCGAGTTTGGTTTGAGTTAGAACAAGGATATCACACTGGGTAAAGTAGAGGGTCAGCGAAAAAGGGGAAGACCCTTAACGAGATAGCTTGGCACAGTGGCTGCAACAATGGGCTTAAGCATAGCAAATAATTTGAGGATGGCGCGGGACTCGGCAGTGTTCCGTTCTGTTGTAGGGCCGCTATGAGTCCAAGCCGACCCAAGGCACAAAACAAGCGAGAATTTTACCTCACTTTTCTCAAGCTGATGTGCCCCATAGCTGTATTTTCTAAAGGTCTGTTGTTGTTGTTATGTGCCGTGGAGTCGGACTCGACTCATAGTGACCCCTCCTTGGGTTTCCGAGGCAGTACCACCACTACGGAAGTAGTTTGCCCAACCTTCCTTCCGAGGAGTGGCTGGTGGGTTTGAACCGCCAGCCTTCTGGTTAGCAGTCAAGTGCCTTAAGCACTATGCTACCAGAACTCCTTTCTAAAAGTCTGTTGTTGTTGTTGTTGTTATTTGCCGTCGAGAAGATGTTGTTCTAAAGGTCTAGATATCTGCAGTTCAGCGGTCCCTGGAGCAGCTAAGTCTCAGGAATACAAACTGACATGCCAGGCTGGGACAAACCTACCTAGTCATCGCTAGAAACGCCTTAAACGTGGGCCTAAAAGGGCTACAAATTCGCTGGGGGCGAAACAAAGGCTGGGGTTTATTTCCCCTACCTTCTCCTGCCCCATTCCCAGCTCGAGGAGGTCTGAAATCTTACCAATAAGTCACCATTAGTCTCCAGACGAAGGTGAGGCTTCTGTCGCTTCAGGGCGCGTTTCAAAAAGCCGCGAGGAGCCTTTCGCTTTATCTTCTGTCTCCGGGTGACTGTGGTCGAAAACGCCATTTTCCCCCTCAGGCACTGGCTGCCTCAACTTCCGAGGTAGGCATGCACGACACAAACTCTTCCGCCGGCTGAGAAAGGAAAAAAACCCAGGGACTCTAAGTATTCTTTAGGTCAGGAGACACAAGTCCGACGGTTTGAATCCGCCGCCAACAGAGTATACCAGGCGCTCCTCAGTGACGTCAGAACGACGCAAACCCCGCCCCCGCCACCACCACCCGGCAACCCCCGAGCTGGGCTGTGAGTTGGAAAAACCTGGGGTGGGCGGGTCTAGGGAGCTCAACGACGTCATTAAAGGTCGAAGCTTCCTTTGATCCTGTGCTCCTGTCGCCCTAAAAACGTTAATAAGTTATAGAGATCAGCTGTTATACCAAGGCAGCTATACTTTCACTCCAAGCTCGCTCGATATTGTGCCTAATATGAAGTAGAAAAACAGAAAGATGTTTGTGATGTTTTATCAGGATTCTAAAAAACTAACGCCTTCCTTCTGATTTAACAGTTAACACTTTGTTACATTTTTACATAATCCATTTGAGCCTTAGGCCTTTTCACGATTCTAGCTTTTCTATACAAATATCGCTCCCTTTAATTTGAATGCCTTGCCCGCTTAACCTTGCAATATCTTTAAGGTGTGTTTCAAGTGGTACTTCTCCGAAACTTTTGCTACTTCCCTAAGGAATTAGCTTGGCTGCTTTCTGTGCTACCATAGAAGTAGTTCTCAAACTTCAGTGTGCATTAGAATCAGCTGGAAAGTTTGTTACAACAGTTTGCAGCAATTAAAAGAATCACCTAGGAATTTTGTAACTGTAGATTCTGATTCAATAATTAAAAAAAAAAAAAAACCTATTGGTCCGACTCCTAGTGACCCCATCCTTGGGTTTCCCAGGCTGTAACACTACTGAAGTATATTGCCCAGCCTTCCTTCCGGAGAGTAGCTGGTGGATTTGAACCGCCAGCCTTCTGGTTAGCAGTCAGATGCCTTAGGCACTACGCCACATTTGGGGTGAAAATACAAATTCTCAGAGCCTCCTACAGGAATCAACCAGTTGGAAGCCCTGGTTTATAAGGTCTCATTTCCAGCCCCCAGAGTTTGATTCAACAGATTTGGGTGGCGCTCCAGAATTTGTTTCTAACAAGTAACCAAAGAAGTTCTGGTGGCATGAGGCCTAAGGCATTTGACTGCTAACCAGAAAGTTGGCAGTTCAAAACCACTAGCCGCTCCACAAAAGGACAATGGGGCAATCTACAAGTAACCAGGCTTTGTTGACAATGCCAATCTAAGGACCCCTCTTTGAGATCCAGTGTGATTTTAATTGTAGTTACCTGTTCTGTATTATTAGGAGGGAGCTCTGGTGGCATGATGCCTAAGGCATTTGACAGCTAATCAGAAGTTTGGCCTTTCAAATCCACCAGCTCCTCTGCAGAAGGAAGATGGGGCAATCTACTTCCGTAATGATGCACCACCTTGGAAAACCAAGGGGTCACTATGAGTCGGAATCAACTGGATGACAGTGAGTTTGGTTTTGATACTATTACTATTCTTTTGGTGGTGCAAGGAATGATTAAGCACCCGCCTTCTTACCAGAAGATTGTCACTTGCAGGAGAAAGACCTTGTGATCCGCTCCAGAAAAGTAAGAATTAAGCCTTGAAAACCGTGTGGAACAGTTCTACTCTGCCACACAGGGTCTCTGTGGGTTGAAATAGACTCAATGGCACCCAAAAACAACAATAATTCCTTATGATTTCATTTCCACACGGATGATCTTTCCACTTCCCTTGCCTCTCATTTCCAAGACCTCCCTGCCATCCTGTGGTCATATTCTATTGTTATGTGTCCTCATGTCCATTCTAACTATGTTGTTTGTTGTTGTTATGTGCCGTCGAGTCGGCCCCGACTCATAGTGACCCCTCCTTGGGTTTCCGAGGCAGTATCACTACGGAAGTAGGATTGCCCAACCTTCCTTCCG